CTCGATCCATCCCGGGGCTACAAAGATGTATTTGGACTTAAGAAAGGAGTATTGGTGGCCTTGTATGAAGAGGGATGTCGCATGGTTTGTCGAGAGGTGTTTGACCTGTCGAAGGGTAAAGGCCGAACACCAGAGACCGCATGGCAAGTTGCAGCCATTGGAGGTTCCCGAGTGGAAATGGGAACAGATCACTATGGATTTCATCACCAAATTGCCGAGGACTGCCAGAGGAGTCGATGCAATTTGGGTGATTGTGGATAGGTTGACAAAGAGCGCTCACTTTCTTGCCATCAGTGAGAGTTCTTCGGCGGAGAAGTTGGCGGAGATTTATGTGAGAGAGGTTGTATCTCGGCATGGAGTGCCGATCTCGATTGTTTCAGATCGCGATGTGCGTTTCACTTCCCGTTTCTGGAAGAAATTTCATGAGGAGTTGGGTACTAAGCTGCATTTTAGTACCGCATACCACCCCCAGACCGACGGCCAGAGTGAGCGGACGATTCAGACACTTGAGGACATGCTTCGAGCATGTGTATTGGACTTCGGGGTAGTTGGGATACGTATTTGCCCTTGGCAGAGTTTTCCTACAATAACAGCCATCATTCGAGCATCGGTATGCCGCCCTTTGAGCTGTTGTATGGTAGGAGGTGTCGGACTCCCATTGTTGGGGAGAGGTTGGGCAAAGGGTAATGGGCAGTACAGAGATCGTGAATCAGACGACAGAGCAGATTACAGCTGGTCAGACAGAGGTTATTGACCGCTCAGAGCCGACAAAAGAGTTATGCGGATAGACGCCGGTCCGAGCTGGAATTCAGGTCGGCGACTTCGTTCTCCTGAAGGTTTCTCCTTGGAAAGGAGTGATCCGGTTCAGGAAGAGGGGCAAATTGGGGCCCCGGTTTATAGGTCCATTTCGTGTGATTGCAAGGGTAGGCCGGGTAGCCTATCGGCTGGAGTTACCAGCAGAGTTGGGGCAGATTCACAACACTTTTCATGTATCGCAGTTGAGGAAATGTATAGCCGATGAGTCGGCAGTGGTTCCATTAGAGGATATTCAGGTAGATGCAAGCCTGAATTATGCTGAGAGACCAGTGGCCATTAGGGATCGGAAGATCAAGATTTTGAGAAACAAGGAGGTACCTTGGTATTGGTTCAGTGGCAACATCGGAGGGATCAGAAATGACCTGGGAGCCGGAGGGTATGATGCGGGAGCAGCATCCGGAGCTGTTTTAGAGCGAGACTTCGAGGGCGAAGTCTAGTTCTAGTGGGGGAGAGTTGTAACATCCGGATTTTTACCAGGTATCTTGTAAATTTAATTTTGTGGTATTGTGAGGGGGACTCGGCGAGTTGGAGCTCAGACTCGCCGAGTAGGGACGCGGATTTGGGCAATGGAGCGCGCCTGGACTCGCGAGTCCAGGATATGGACTCGGCGAGTCTGCGCTGTGTAATGAAACCCTAAATTTCCGGGTTTGAGGCCTATTTAAGGGCCTTATGGCCGTCATTTGTGCTCACCCAACCCTCAGTGAGAGACCCTTGTGTTCTTGAGCGATTTGTGAAGAGAAAGGAGCATTTCTTGACCTTGTGTGTGTTATTTAGCAAGAAGAAGGAGACTCTAGGCAAGAGGAAGCAAAGGAGGTTGCTATTTCGTGGATTTGGAGCTTAGATCATCACTCTAGAGGTATGATCTCGGACTATTTTCTGTTTGGTGAAGCATTATGCAATTTAGGGCTTATGATGGTCATTTATGGGATGATTTGGTGCCCATTGGTTCCCTCCTTGAGTTGAGGTTATGGATCTGGACCCATAGAGGTCCAGAGAGCCTCACTCATCAAGCTTTATGTATGACAATGGAGTCCATGACCTTGTGTTGTAGTAAATGAGTCAAAAACATCATATATGGTCATATAGAGGTTGTATGTGCATCAAGATTGTAACTTTACGTGCTAAATGAGCTTGGAGGGACTGGATCTATGGATTAATGGACTGGATCTGACCTTTAGAGCAAGATTGAGTCAGTGCATGGCACGGACTCGCCGAGTCCGAAGAACAGACTCGGCGAGTAGCATGAATGTTGCCCGACCACACAGTGAGTGGCCTCGCCGAGTTGGGGAGGGTGGACTCAGTGAGTCAAGGGGGAGTCAGAATGGACCGGTGGATTGAGTCAAACTGGACTCGCCGAGTTGTTTTGAGACTCGGCGAGTTGAGTCGTGGTGGCCCCACAACTCATGCCAGGTGGAACTCGTCGAGTTGAGTGAATGCTCGACGTGTCAAGGGAGGATTCCAGGGAAATTGGTGTATACGCCCAGACTCGCCGAGTCGCCTTGGTACTCGCCGAGTCCGGTCAGAGTTGACCGTTGACCGTTGACCAGAGTTGACCAGTGTTGACTCCTTATTGATAGTCAACCTTAGAGATATAAAGTGTTAATTAGAAGCATATAATGTTATAGGAGGATTAGAGCTCGGAGGATCGAGCACGAGGGATTTCCAGGATTTGTGAGATACCGAGATACGCGAGGTGAGTCTTCTCACTATACTTTACCTTGAGTGGGTAACCAGAGTTATGTGATAGAGTATTTGTATGCTATGTATGTTATGTGTTGTACTGCATTATTTCTATGTGATTTATGTGGTGCATGTCTATCAGAGCTAGAACCTGAGGGTTCACAGAGTTTGGGTGCACGGACTCACAGAGTTATAGCCTAGAGTGGCTAATATGTGTTGTATGTGGTATTTTGGGGAACTCACTAAGCCTTGTGCTTACAGTGTTGATGTTATTTGTTTCAGGTACTAGTGACGACCGCGGGAAGGCGCCGGCTTGATCCGTATACACACACGTTTGGAGCTTGATATTATGATCTTGGGATTTTGTACTGTTTTGTTGGATAATTAAAATGGTTGTTTTATGAATATCGATGGAATTATGTTTTATAAAAATTGAAAAATTGGTTTGAAATTTTCGGTGTTACACTATCCTTTTAGAACTGGGTGATGTGTTTCTTGTTAATGTTCCTAAGATGATAGTTCCACAAGAATGATTTGTCTATACCATTAAATGAAGCAATTTAGAATACACTAATGCCTAAGTTATCAATACACATCATAGTTTCATAAACACCATTACAAGAAAAATCATTGAATATAAAAACACCATGTTTATAAACCAAAATCAAACCATTGTCTTTATCAAATGAATATCAAAATCCTTGTCAAAATAAAGTGTGAAATGAAATAATTTCTCTTGTTATATCTGACAAAAAAAAAACAATTAACTAAATCAACTCTAACACTACCATCGGGCACAAGTCCCTAAGTCCCAATCTTGGTAATAGGTGATGAGATCATATTGCCCAGGATCATGTTCAACCTTTCATGCTCCACTTCCTCTCTTTGTTTTAGAGATTGCGTATCAGAACAAATGTGAAAACCACATGTCGTATCAAGTACCCAAAAATGAGAAAATTGTGTGTTATTATTTTGATAGTGTATATAACTAATGAGGAGCCAGATGGCTTTATGTTCCCCTCTTTCAACTTTTACAAGTATTTCGGGCAACTTCTTCTCCAATGTCCCTTTTCGCCACAGTGAATGCAAGTGGCCTCTTTTGGATTACTAACAAAAAAACATTAAAGTTGGGCTTCCCCTGTGACCCACTTCCGGACGCTCCAGTGTGGGCCTTACCCTTCCAAGTTGGTTGTGAGTTAGCCTTCCTCTTCTTTCCTCTTTCATTACCAATTGACATTATAAGAGCACTTGTCGTCGAAAGGGCACGATTTGTCTTCATTCCTTACTCAACAGTTTGCTATAAGTTGTCGAGTTAGGTCAATATGGTATCTATGTTGTTCAAATGATAAGCTAAAACAAACTGAACATAACTGGGCAGTAGGGAGTTAAATGTCATATCAATAGCCTGCTCCTTACCAAAAAACACATTGAGTTCTTCCAAAATCTCTACATACCTTTGCATCCTTTGTGCGCAAGCGCACATATATTCTCCTTCCTTTACTTACACACCATAAGGGACTTCACAACTTCATAAACTTCTTGTCTTGCTTTCTTGTGAAACTTTTCAAAAAGATCTGAGCACATTCCGTATGGCTAGTAGTCCTCATAGAACTTTTGTACCTCAAGTGTTATGGTTGCAACCATTAAGCAAGTGACCTTATTGGTATCATCAATATGTTTGTTACAAGGAACAAGTTTTTTAGGAGTGACATTTGACTTAGCAATTTTAGCAAGAGGCTTCTCAAGAACACACTCTTTGTTCTCATAGAGAAGATTCATATTCAGTTTGCGCATCCAGTCCATATAGTTTAGACCCGTCATTTTTTTCTTTCGATAGAATCGACAAGAGAGTGAAATTTGATTTTTAGTGGCGGTTTGAGCAGTAGGAGCGTCACCATTACCAAGCATCTATAATAAGAGATACAGTTTTAGTTAGTTGATATAATCCTTAATATTTTAAGCCAAGTTAATATTTAGGGCTACGATCCAAAATACATCTCATAGTTAAGAAGAGGGATGCCTTAATCTAATTGAAATATATTAAGGTATGTTAAAAATTCACCAATTTCAATCAAATATGAAATTCCTAGATCGTTTGAGATTCATTGAATCTTATCAATGACATCTTATTTACTATGATGTAAGCACTCTTCATTGTAAAATTTTGGCTTTGCCCTGTTTGTGCTAAAATGAGACACCAACCATTGGATTAGATACTTGATCACACGGTTGGGGCAAACTAGAAAGGGATAATGTGAATTCGGTCCACAAGGCATTACTGGCGACAAGGACCTTTATTAACAACAAATTGTTGAGTCGCCACTAAAAGTCTTTGTAATGCCTTTCTTGTAGCGGGTACATTCAAAAATAAAATTAACAATAAAAACTACTATCACCAAACCAAAAGAGCAAAACCAATGAAATTATTAGAAATATCACTTTATTATCATTATACAACTCGCAACATCCTTTAAACAAAATATACTTAATGACATAATAATAAATTAACGAGCTGTCAATTCTGTCATGGAGGCAACAGCGTTGGTTATGCTAGAAGCAACATATGAGGGATCATCAATATGAACATTAAAGTTTAGAACATTGAAAGGCAATCTAGTTGGTGGTCTGTGGTCTCCTGATCGATCATTCAGAAGTATCAAGACTTCAGACATTGTTGGACGCTCCGAAACGGTTGACCGAGTGCACAACAATGCTATTTCTATGATTTTCTGCACATCTTGCTCGGTATACTCGCTCTGGTCAAGTTCTTCATCAATAAGGTTTAAGGGAATTCGATTCTCATACATGTTCCTAGCCTAAATATTAATAAAGAAACGTTGTAAATTCAACAATATAATCAAATACTTAGCTTATAGTACCATTTTTACGTGGACATACATGTTCAAGGAGGTATTGATGGGATACATCCAACACATCAGTACACCTCTTGCCACTGACAATTTCAAGTACCACGATGCCAAAACTGTAGGTATCTGATTTCTCAGACAACTGTCCATGAATGGCATATTCGGGTGCTGTGTAGCCACTGCTGATCAAAAACTAGTTACTTCAAGTAACAAGAAATGAAAAGGCATGTAAACCAAAACTATTAGGAGGTTTTATTTATATACCTTTGTTTCTTTACCTTTTATTTAGATACCTTCGTTTCTTTATTTATGGATCATGACTTTATGGCTCCAAATTTTTTGATATTATCCTTGGGTAATTATATATATATATATATATATATATATATATATATATATATATATATATATATATATATATATTATATATATATATATATACACACACACACTTAAAGACTTAATTATACTTACAATGTTCCGGCAACCCTAGTGCTTATATGAGTCTGATCTTCGGGTAGAAGCCTTGCAAGCCCAAAATCTGCAATTTTCGGCTGAAAATCGTTATCTAGCAAAATGTTGCGGGGATTAATGTCCCTATGGATAATCGTCACATGGTACTGTTCATGTAGATAAGCAAGACCCTTTGCTATGCCAAGAATTATGTCACGTCGTTGTTTCCAGTTAAGAATCCCCTTTCTTTCACCTAAGTTATTCAAAATCGGTAAAACATAATTTCTTTTAGTATAACACTAACAATATTAAAATTGTTAAAGATCATAGCTTAATTGCACCAAACTACAACTAACCATATAAGAACTTTTCAAGGCTTCCGTTTTCCATGTACTCAAGGACTAGAAGCAACTCTGGTCCCTCATTACAGCACCCAAGAAGGCGTATAAGGTTACGATGATGGACGTTAGTAAGAACTCGTACTTCACTCTCAAAATCCTCCTTTGCACTACTAACCAGTAGCTTTTTCACAGCTACTGTATTTCCAAGGTTTATATTACCCTATTCCGTGTATCCAGCCAAATTAGAAAATTGTATCAATGGAGAAATAAAATAACATAATCAAGAATCATGTACCTTATACACTTCTCCGTATCCTCCTTCTCCAAGTTTGTAATCGTTGCAGAAGTTTTTTGTTGCTTTCTTTAAATCACTATAACTATACTTGAATGGATCTTGTAGTTGATCGCTTCGCCCAAATGATTTACCTAATAAATTGAAAATCTTAATATACATTCAGGTGAATTACACGTACTTCTGATAAAAATGCGAGTAAAGCGATGAAATTTAATTTTTGTTGTCTATTAGAATGTTAAGAAGCCTACGAGCACAAATTTATTTGCCTCTTAAATTAAAATGTTGTTTAATTAACCATCTAACAGTTTCTAAGAATGCCCTTTAATAAACAGAAAATATATACCCCCTGAAGAAAAAAAAAAATCGAAGTTATTGATTATAATAATAATAATTACTAATCGACAAAAGAAGTCAATGGATCGATCCTGCTAACCTCTTGGTGTGCTTCTCTTTTTGGATCGACAACACCACAAAAGTATAGCCAAAAGAATCATACTCAGTAAGCCTAGGCTGCCAACAACTCCCCCAATAATAGCTCTCTTCTTGCTCGAATCTTAAATATATAAACCGATAGCATGTCATATAAAGCTACGAAACTGAGAAGATAACAAAAAGGTCTTACCTTCTACTAAATACGATTCAATGTTAGTTGTTTCATTTTTCCTGAAAAACGGTTTGTTTGAGTATCTCATAAAACACCCTGTATCAAGTGCCCTTCCATCAACAAAAGGTAAGCAACTCATTATATTGAAATACGCCACCTTTAAGCAAACCTTGCAACCGTTTTGTGCCACTGTTGGTGCACATTGTGCTATAGCATAGACACTTCTATTGCTACCATGGATATTACTTGACGATGCTACAAACAAATCATTGATTTTATGCGTGGCAATTGTAAGATTCGATAATAGTCCATTCACTGTGGTTTGGAAACGTGTTGGCTTAGTTGCAGTGTGGTTTCCACAATAGGCAACATTTCCTGGTTGTGTTGCATCTTCATAGAAACGAGTGGGATCATACCTACACCAAAAGGAAAAGCATACCAAAACATGAAAAACTTGTCAAGGAACAAGTGGAAAACATTTCCATTCCTCACAAAATGATTTATTTTAAAACGATTGCTTAGATTTGAAGATTTTAATCACATTCTGGGTTCATCCAAATGGCATCTAAACAAGAACCCACTATGTACGTATTGCAGAATTGGTGAAGGGTTATGGGAATCAATTACCTGAGGAAGCAGCCATCAAGAACCGCTCGGGCACCTGAAGCAGCTCCACAAGCGCGTGTATTTGAAGTAGCCACGTCATAACAAGCGAGGCAGTCAACTGTTGACATATAAAGCCTACATTGTGCCATCATGTAGACAGGTTCAGAGCTTCGGGTCTTCTCAGAGGTGGCAAAGTACGTGTTGTTGTTGGATAAAAGTCTTCGGACCTCCCTAAAGGTCTCGTTAAGACTCCTGAAGGAACTCCTTGTGTTCTGTAAGCTGCATGATCTAAGTAAAAGGTTGGTTTGTGGCTGCGAGGTAACTTGAGTTGTGAGAAATATCATGTACAGAAAGAATGCTACCACCGCCTGCCACCCAAAGAACCACCGCCTGGCCATTGCAACGGTGGTTAATTTTTTTGTCTTGGTTTGTCTTGGGTAGGGTAATAGACTATTAGTTAATGTCTTTTAATACCCAGAAGTGATTTTTTATGTAATTAGACTTTATACGAAACTACTGGTATTGCATTAAATGTCATGTTATTATTGCTACTAATTTGTGAACGGAGAAATAGCATACAAGTCTTCATGATAGCTGTATTATTGAGGTTGGGAAAAATAATATTTTAGAACCCATCCTTCCTAGATCCGGAAAGATAGCACTTGGAATGGTTAATGGATATTATAAAACTTATTTAACCAAAGTTTTTGTAGTTATTCTCCACTAGGTGTGAGATCCATGTATTACATGAGTTTATTTAAAAAAAAATATATGAAATTTTAACAATTTGAGAAATTTGAATTTATAAGAAAAATGAGAAAATTTTTGAACTATTAAAATTAATGAGGCTTTAATACATTGAATAGATTACATATATAAATTCTTTCTAATAAATACCTTACTTATATAATACCTTAATATTAAATATAGAATTTTAATTTAATAAAATGAAAAATACAATAAAATGACAAGTGAAAAAATAGAAAATTCAAAAATTCTAGAAAATATCATGTGTCCAAATGAGAGAGAAGAGGACATATAACAAAAAGATTTTGATTTATTAGGGATGATTTGAATACAATGGGAAAGTCACGTTCCACTAAGTTAGTAAACTAATTATTACTATTTTTTAATAACAAACATCTTGAATATTCGTAATTTAATGAAAATTTATTTTCATAAACTAATAATTAACATACAAAATCTAAGGGAAATCATTGCTTTGTTTTTTCTTTGAAACCAACTATATACATTTTCAACATTGTATACAAAACTTGATTGCTTTATTATTATTTTTTTTATCATTGATATTTTCAACAATTTAATCTGTCTTCATCTATATAAGTGCCGATTAATCCCCGACGACACTGACTAATCGCTAGTCGATAGTCGAACGAGTTAAATTGTTGAAAATATCAATTTATAATTGATATTTTCAACAATTTAACTCGTTCGACTATCGACTAGCGATTAGTCAGTGTAGTTGGGGATTAATCGGCACTTATATAGATGAAGACAGATAAAATACGATTAACATCATAACAAAGTTGGTAATATCACTACACTACAAGAAAAAGGATCTTTAGAGACGACAAATATTGTTTGTAAAAGTATTAATGTTGTCGCTAAAAACCAACAGCAAGGATCATTGTCGCCAACTGTTTCCTCGCAATAGCTCCGTCGCTAAAAGTTTCTTCTGCGACAACATGAGCGTCTTCGTTGAAAGTAATTACTATTAGCGACAAACATTTGTCTCTAAAAGATTAATAATAGTTTTTTATTTAATTAGTTTTAGAGATTAAAAGTTGTCTCTAAAAGATTAATAATTTAAAAATTATTTACTTTCATAGACAATAAGGTGGTACTAAAATACATAAATTGTAACGAAATTCTTTTAATTAGCTGTTAAGACAAATCAATAGTTCTAAACTACATAACACACTAAATCAACATCTTCATCCAATTTAACAAGAAAACCGATAAAACAATGAGAACAACATCAAGTTTAACAGATAAACTAACTATACTTTATTCATATCTTCTTTATCATAAAACCCATAACATCATCCCCATATTGTGGTTCTCTTTTGATGTTTACATTCGAATTGAGACACCACCATTTGTGTTTTTTTCCTGTTTTGTTTATTGGGAAGTCTATCTGAAGCTTCGTTTGTGGCCCGTATAATTGCTTTTTAGCTGCAAAAAAAATTAAAATAAATAAATAAATAAATAAAGTACCATGCTTTAACATGTTGATAGGATGATTTTAGTCAAGTAGAATGTCTTGGAGCTAGTTTATAAGCAACCAATGGTGTCACAATCCAAAACCGAGACGGCTGAAACATTCGGGGCAGAGAACATCATGTACAGTATCATAATAATTGCATAATAGTAAAATAAGCAACAATATACATTGTATTGAAACTATAGTTAATACATTTGTGTTCTTATTATTGTTTGTATGAAAATATATAGCAAAATAAAAGACAAGTCTTGAATATACATTGTCTTCTCAAAAACCTGAGTGAGTGTACGTATCTACTAGTTTCTTGAGAATATAAGTTATTTTGAAAAGAGAGAATCAACATTTAAATTGGTGAGTTAATAAACATTTAGTATTAGAAATATGTCCTTGTAACATGAAAATGATAGTTTGTTGCTCCATAAAATTCGATATTTTCTATATTAAGTAAAGTGTAATCTTAGGCCTTAAAGACCAAAATTCATAATTTAACTATTGATTTTATGAGTACTGGTCAATATAATCATTTTTTGTATTTTGGCGTCCATTTTTGTTAGCTTCATTTTGAAATAAGATTTTTTTACTAGTAGTTGAGTTAAAGATTCTTTGTGCAAGTATATAATCACTAAAGGTTTTGAGAAAATAGTATTTTAAATTCCTTTTAAAATCTAAAAAGAATGTTTATTAAACAAAAAAGTTTTTATATTTTTGTTGATTTTATAATTTTTAAGGCCTAATTTTAATAAATTTAAACATGGTCTTCGAAAACACAAGATCGGCTATTTATTTGAATTTTAAAAGAAGAGCATAAATTACGGACAAGTTATTGAATAGTAGTCTACATCTTGTTTACTATGATGTAAAGCCCCTTCAAAATCCTCCTTTGCACTACTAACCTGTAGCTTTTTCACAGCTACTGTATTTCCAGGCTTTATATTACCCTATTCCATGTATCCGGCCAATTTAGAAAATTGGATCAATGGAGAAATAAAATAACATAATCGAGAATCATGTACCTTATACACTTCACCATATCCTCATTCTCCAAGTTTGTAATCTTCGTAGAAGTTTTTTGTCTCTTTCTTTAAAAACTGTAACTATACTTGAATGGATCTTGTAATTGATCACTTGGCCCAAATGATTTACCTAATATATTGAAAATCTTAATATACATACAGGTGAATTACACGCCTCATATCTTATACTTCTCATAAAAATGCGATTAAGGCGATGAAACTTAAATAAAATCTACTCTAATAATTAAATGTTTTATTTTTACATAAAACTCAAATAAAATGTTTTATTTTTACATAAACTCAAATAAAATCTACTCTAATAATTAAAAGTTTTTTTTTTTTTTTTTTTTTTTTTCTACATTTCACATTCTTATTCAATTTGTCAAATGTCATTTTGTGGCTATTTTGAATTAATTTATTTTTCACATGTCACTTTTGTGATTTTCTATTTTAATAAATTCAACATAATACTTTAATGTAATAATAATTAGTAATAAATGAATATTAATTTCATTAATGAACTTACCTTTTTATTTCAAAATTTCTAAATTAAAGCTCATTAGTTTATTTATTTAAATTTAAAAGATGAAAAAAACAATTTTAATAATTCATTACTTTTCTTATTTTCTTATAAATTCAAAGTTGTTAAATATTTAAACATTTATATTTAATTTTTTTAAATTAACTCATGTAATACATGAGTATTATACACCTAGTTAATAATATTTCAACTTCCTCCCAATTTATTATAAATATTTCATATCTACGAAAATATTAATTATAAGTAAAAGTTACTATTTTATTTTGTTACCTAAAACGTTTTAATTTTACATGAAACTCAAATAAAATTAATAATAAATTAATTCCCTAATAATTTATCATAAATATTTAATATCTACGAAAATATTAATTCTAAGTAATAGTTAATATTTTTTATAAAACTCAAATAAAATTAATAATATTTCAATTTCCTCATAATTTATTATAAATATTTAATATGTACGAAAATATTAATTATAAGTAATAGTTAATATTTTAGACAAAATTGCAAAAATGATTGCTACGGTTGGCAAAATTCTGTGGTTTCCGTCCAAAAAATTTTGTACTGCACCAATGGTCAAAAATTGGATATTTTCATTGGTTTTGGTCCCTATCAACCTGAAAAGACTATACCCCTATTATTTGTTTGTTTATTAATATTAGTGTTTAATTAATTAAAATATAAAGGAAATGGTCTCTCTTCGCCTGCTAGTACTCAGTTGTTCCTTTTATCTCTTTTCAAAACTCACAAGAATACATAGTCTCAAGAACAAACACTAACCCACCACCTAGATTTATGTATCGAAGCTGTTACTGGAGCTTGGTCATGCATTTTGTGCATTATTGCTTGTCGTTGTTGGATAAGGTGTCTAAGTCCATAACTATTTCTGGTATGTACTTGACCCGACCCGGCATGGTCCATTTGGGTTGCATGGCACCATGCAATTGGATAGACTAAATGAGAGAAATAACACTTGGAGATTATTAATATATTATAAGTTCTAATATATTAATAATATTATTTGATTAGTTTGATCAAGAAGTAATTTAGAATTAATTATGTGATCAAAAGATAACTAATTAAATATATGGGTTGATTATGTAAATCATCCATATCTTGTATAGTGGGCTAAGAGGCTCCATGGATTATTAAGTTGGGTTCCACCCATAGGATGCTCCATGGATGCTCCATGGGAGTTACAAACCCATGGGTCATGGAAATGAAGAGTCATGACACATTAGGGTTTAACCCTAGATGTGTCAACACTATATAAGAAACATGTTCTCCACCAAAATCGGTTACACCAAGGAAACAAGAGGGCTTGGCCGATTTCAAGAAGTGTGTGTTCTCTCATAAGTTCTTCCAAGAGCATTTGGTGTTGTGTGAAGCATTTGAGGCATCACACTTGGGGTGCTAGGCTCACAAGGTGTCAAGGAACACAAACAACAACAAGGTAAGTTATTCTATCTATTATTCAAGTTAAAATTGTTCCCCATGTATGCTAGATAGGAATATAACCTTGGAATTCAACTTTGCATGATAATTAGACAAACATAGATCCAAGGTTATTAGGGTTGCATGTACACTTAGGAAGTGTTA